CCCCACCTGCTGGGCATTCTCTTCATTCAACCAAAGCCTCGTCCTGTCCCCATTAGGATGGCCACTCCCAACAGGAGTTCCCGGCCTGTGAAGGCCAATCCGTCGGGGCTCGGCACCCCATTATCATTCTGCCACTTTCCAAAGGAAATTATAAGCACTTTGTGTCAACCCTCATCTGTCCCGGCAGCCGCACCGCAGGAAAGCGATTGAGGTCAGAGAAGGCAGACAGCCTACCCATCACACCCGCCGCGGCCATTCCTCATGTAGTGACATGCAATCTCCCGCCAAGGGTCACCTCTGGGGAAGCGATTCCTTCAAGCCCAGAACAAGTGCCAAATTGCAGCTTTGCCGAATGATCATGTGGAACACATTGAAAATAGCCGCCTCAATAATAAATGCTTAACCAAAGCAGCCCCTTCCTCTGGCATAACCAGGAGCGTATTTACTGTAAATATATTAACCGAGTCATGTTGCAGCACATGGCCCAGGAGTCCGCTTCCCAGGCAGCAAAGAGCAAGCCTCCGCCGGGCTGGGAAGGAGCAAGCAGCGAAGCAGAGGATTGTGTCCGCCAGGGAAAAGAAGAGGCAGGAAAAGGCACCCGGGACAGAGCAGCCTCCTGCAGGCCCCACAGCCCCACCCGACAGAGGAGTGGCGAGAAGGGGACTTGGCGTTCTGCATCTGGCCGTCACCTCTGTGCCCCACGGAATCTGAGAGTTAAGACTGGCTCCAAGAGAAGTGGGGTTTGTGTTTCTCCTTCATTTCCTGCTCACATGGTGAAGTCCATAGTGTGACAGCTCTGAACTCCACAGGATGAATCAGGGTCAGGGGAGAGGAGAGGAGGAAAGAAGGAGCGAGAGAAAGGGGAGAGAGACAGACGAGAGGGCAGAGCGATGGCGAGAGACAGAAATATGGATGAGAAACGGGAAAAAACCCGAGAAGATGATTGGAAGCCTGAAAGATAGAGAAAGCAATCTAAGATAGAAAAAGAGCACCGGAGAAAGAAAACATCCTGGAGGAGAGAGAAGGAGGGGCAGAGAGGGGAACAAGGAGGAGGTGGAGCGAGGGAGATTGAGAGGGCATGAGTCGCCTCTGGAAGGCTGGGTTTTGTTTCCACTGGGAAGAAAAAATGTTCTTTGTTATCAAAAGCCTTGAGTGACACCAGCAGCTCCTCCCCACCCCTCTCTAACACACTAGCACCCAAGCGGGTGTGCACATACACGTGTATACTCAAATGTGCACATACACACACAAACATGCACATATTCGTACACACAAAAACATATGCATGCACACACATATGCACATTCACATGCACACATGCATACTCGTGCACATACACACTAACATGCACACATACTCAAGGTACACATATATTCACATGCACCACACATGCACACATGCATGTGCATGCACATACATGCACACACACACATATGCACACACCTACTCAAAGCCCACACATATATGCACACACACATGCACACACCTACTCAAAGCACATACATACATGCACACACACATATGCACACACCTACTCAAAGTACACACATACATGCACACATACACATATGCACACACCTACTCAAGGCACACACATACCTGCACATACTCACACATTCATACATGCACACTAATGTGTACACACACATATGTATAGGCACACACACATGCATGCATTTGCGCACACGTATGTGCACACACATACTCGCATGCACACATTCACATGCACGCACTCGTGCACATACACTCACATGCCCTCATACATGCACATATATGCACATGTGCATGCACACATACATCACATACAGGCACACAGCCATCTACATGCACACATAGACTCTCACAGCACACAGTCAATTCCCTCCCTGCACCCCTGAACCTAATTCAGTCCCAGAACAGAGAGAGCAATACGTGGTCTGAGCCAAAGGAAACAGACCAAAGCCAGACTGGGTCTGGGTGTGGGGGAGGAGGAGGAAGGAGGCCAGGAGGAGGCAGCCCAGGTCAGGGGCCCCGAGAGGACCAGCAATGCAATTGGAATGGGAAATAACTGTACAGCCCCCTGAGAAGCTGCTGCCCCCGAGGCCTGGGCCTCCCTTCATCCCAGTATCGGGCTGCATTCTTAATTGGGCCACGGCCTCGGCTACCTAAAGAGACAGTCAGACACTGACTTCAAGACCAGAGAAACCCCAGCAAAGGGCAGCCAGCTTCTGGGCGAAGAGTGAAGCCACCGGCTCCCTCTGGCTTGCAGCTTCTCCTTTCTGAAGTGGGTGGGCAGTTTCCGGCCAACCTTTTGCCTTGTTCTCTCCAGCCGCCCCTGCTAACTCCCAGTAATTTGCCAAAATTAACAGATTTATGGCAGCACGTTGGTTTGGATCAACTTTTCATATGTACTTTGCAAGAGAAAAACATTTTCTTCTCCCCCGACTTACTGTTTGCCCATTAATACGCTCCACATTCGCTGGTGCTTAATGACTGTTCAAATTTTCTCTGTTCATAGAGAATGTTGTTGTTTTGATTGAGGGTGCCAGGGTGCTTGCAAGTACAAACACACCAAAGCCATAAAAAGGGCAATTAATTCTTAAAAAAAAATGCAGAGAGTGGGAGAGATTGGATGCTCTGTTTACAGAAGAGCAAGAAAGAAAACAGATATTTCTAAGAAGTGTCCTTCCAGGACAGCAATGACTCCTGTAAAAGTGTTTCCTGGAAAAAAATGTTGAATCACAAATGTTCATGGAAAATGCTGTCCAGCAGACACTTGGTTATTCAACAACCATGTGCCAACTACTCATTCATTAAGGGCCTGGTTCTGGGGTAATTCAAAAAGGAAGCCACAGGGTGTGGGTGAAGTGGACATCCGGGACAGGACGGAAATCCCAGCTCTAGATAAGTTATCCCTTACCTCTGAGCCTCAGTTTACCCATCTGAAAAATAGGAGGTGGAAATCCCAAAGGTGGCTATCAAAATTCAAGAGGGACATGTCTATCAAGAGCTTAGCTTGCTGCGGGCACATAGTGGGTGTACAAGAACTGCCTGGTTCATTACTCGTTCACTCTCCTGAACAAATCAGTAGCCAATTTAATGGCTTTGGTGTGTTTGTACTTCCTAGCACCCTGACAACCTTAATCACAGCAACCGCAGTCTCTAGCACCAGAGTACGTTCTCTGGGCCATGCCATGGGGCTGGGTTTTGAAGTTACAACTTCGAGAAAGACATGTTTCTACCCATGTACAGCTGATGATCCAATGGTGAGAGACAGAAACTACTAAACATCTGCAATGCCAACGTGTCCAATAGTGATAAATGCTTGAAGGGAAATAAAACAAAGTAAGATACTAGATAGGGCCCTGCTGGGCTGTGTTGGATGATGTCATCAGGGGCCTGGGGAAGCCAGCAAGGTGATTTGTGCAGACACCCGAGTCGGGTGTTGATATCTTCCTCCATTCCTTTCATCTTTCCGGAAAATATGGTTGGGAAGCCCTGGTCCATCGTCAAAGGACAGAGGCAAGTTGGCCTATGCGCTAACAATTGCTACATATTGTGAGAGCTCTTAAAACAAAGGTCAGGGCACACCCAATGAATGCTTCCCTTCCAGATAAGAAAAATATTCTGGGCACCTGCTATGCGCCAAGTGTTGTGCTATGCAGTGGGGGCGCAACTGCAGGGGAACCAGACATGGTCCCTCCCTGCCTCCTGGCATTTAGAGCCAAGACAGAGGGTCAGATTATAAATGAACACAGGCACCATGATTATTTCATGCCAAGCTCTGGTTGGTGCTATGAGGAAGGAGCAGCGATCTTTGAGACCTGGGAGGGGGTCCTGATGGAGCAGACACCAGTAGAAGGATCTTCCCAGGAAGTGACGATGAAGCTAAGTCTGAAAAGGTAAGTAGGAGGTAGGGAGGAAATAGAGGGTAAAAGAGGGAACAATGTTTCTGACAGAGGGAACAACGTGTGAGGGCCAGGTCAGTGGGAAAACGCATGGGCTTTGAAGTCAGAACCCAGGTTCAAATCCCAGCCCCACCGCCTTCCAACTCTGTGACTTTGGCCAGGTAAGAGGGTCTCATTCATAAAGTGACCTCGAGAAGACTTCATTGGCTTGTCCTGAGGGCCTGCGTGAGAAGAGTGTTGGTAGAGTGAAGTCCTAAAGGAAGGTTGGTTTCTTGTAGAATCGTCAGATCGGGGATGGGATGGCCTTGGGACAATGGTCAAGACATCTAGCTTCTAGTCCCTGTTCTGTCAGTTTGACTCATCTGACCACCCTCCATTTGCCCCATTATAAAATAAAGGGGTTCTATTCTCTGTTGTAGGAAAATAACATTGAATCCACAGAAGAAATATGTATCGGGGCAGGTGTAAATCCAATAACATCCCTGTGGCCAGTTGCATTGCAGATTCCCTCATGACCAAGACTCATCCTGTCTTATTGGGCTTCTCAGAATCAAGTCACTTCTGCCTTCTGCAAAGGAATCCTTGCCTTTTTCGCAGGCACCTCCCATCCCGCTGTGTTCCCATCACCTGCTGTGCCTTTGGTCAGCTCTGTGGGGCTCTCTCCTCCTGACAACAGGACATGCCTGGAGCCACTCTTCTCCCCTGCATGCTCTCCCTAGGACACCTCATTCAGCTCACAGTTTCAATGCCATGGGGTGCCGTCAGCTCCAATGTCTATGACCAGCCTCCCATGCCCGCCTGCCTCCTCTTCATCTCCACTTTGACGTCTAAATGGCATCTAGACCTAACATCTTCACAACCCCAACCATGGTCCCCACCTGACACCCCCACAACTTACTCCACCTGCACAGGTGTCCCCGTTTCAGCCTAGGATGGTGCCACCCTCCCACTTGCTCAGAAAAAGAACCTGGCAGTCATCCTGGACTCCTCTCTCCTGCTCACATTCCAGTCCACATACAGCCAGCGCTGTTGCTTCCAACTTCATCATTTTTACAGAGTCCAATCAATTCTCACCAGCTCCACAGCCACCACCCAAGTCCAGGCCACCTGTACCTCTCGCCTGTTTATGGCAGCAGCCTCCAAGTGTCCCCAGGTTTTTTGTGCCACTCTTCATTGTTGATTCTGCAAGTTAAAATGTATGTCAAGTCACGTCCCTCCTCGGCTGGAGATACCCCACCTGGGTCCCAGCTCCCTCAGAGGAAAACCCCAAGTTCCCACAGCTCACCCCCCTGTAGCCTGCCCCACCTGGTGGCCTCAGGGCCTTTGCACTTACTGGTCCCTTGGCCTGGGACGCTCTTTCCCCATATGCCACTTCCTTCCCTCTTCCTGTCCCAGCTGTCACCTTAGAGAGAGCTTGCTGCCAGCCCACGTAATAAGACAACGCTACCTAGCCTCCTTTCTGCTTCATGTTTCTTCGTGGCATGTGTTCCCTTCCCTGACGTTCTCTATTTTTAACCTATTTAGGTACCCATTCTCTCTCTCTTTCTCTCTCTCTCCCTCCCTCTCTCTCTCTGTTTCAGAAGGCTACCTCTTTGAGGCAGAGATCTTTGTCTGGTTTGTTTGGGGTTGATGGGGACACCCAGGAAGTATTTGTTGAACGAATGATTTCTGTGACTCAAGCAATTATTCATTTACTGGCTGTTTGACCTCAGAAAGAAGCCAATGGACATCTTCTGGTGAGACCTAGAGTGCCCCACCTGCAAGGGGCCTGATCTCCCTTGAACCAGGAGCCCTGCCACTCACCCCAGCTGCCTAGAGGCTGACAGGAGAAGAGGGAGTCAGAATGGTGCTCCAAACAGAGCTCACTGGAATCTCAGCTCAGCCACTCACTCGCTCTGTCAACGTGGGCTCTCACGGCAGGTACCTGAGACTGTTTTCTTGTCCATAAAATTGGAAGGTGCTATGGGTTGAATTGCTTCCCCAAAAAATATGTGGGAGACTTAACCCCCGGAAATGTGAGCTGCGTTGGAAATGGGGTCTTTGCAGATGTCACTAGTGAAGATGAAGCCACACTGGAGTAGGCTGGGCCCTAAATCAAATGGTTGTTAGTTTTATAAGAAGAGGGAAATTTGGACACAGGCACACACCAAGAGGAACAACCAGCATGTGAAGATAGAGGCAGAGATTGGAATGAGGCAGCCACAAGCCGAGGAACCCCTGGAGCTCCCGGAGGCCAGAAGAGTCAAGGGAGGATCCTCCCCTAGAGGCTGCAGAGGGAGCACAGCCCTGCCAACGCCTCGATTCGAGACTTTCCCTCCAGAACTGGGAAAGAATAAATGTCTGCTGTTTCAAGCCCCCTCGTTTGTGGTGCTTTGTCACAGCAGCCCGAGGACTAGTACAGAATTATAACCCCTACCTGCCCTGAGGACTGCTTGTAAGAGGGCTCCCCAGGGTCCAGGTCTTAACAGACCCTCCCTGAATGTCCTGCAGCCACCACTGATGTGCTGGAAGTCACTTCCGCTGGCTTTGATGAAGGGAAGGAAGCAGATGACAAAGAGGTTATATATCAGTGATTCATTGAACCTATTGTCTATCCACAGAGGGAGTGCCTTGTCCCCCAAGATCTGGGCCCACAGTGGCCCCTTAAAGTCAGGCCCTCTCACCTGGGCAGGGGCCAGAAACCTACAGGAACAGCCACCACTGAAAGCCCTCAGTACTCTGCTTAAGCCTCCACTCCAGACCCTCAGAGCTTCCAGCTTCTTCTCCCCGATACCCGGGCAGAAACTCAGCCACCTTCTATTTAGAAGGATCGGCCATCCGTCCTTCTAAATAAATCCAATCCCTCCACTCTCCTGCTTTCCACCTGCAACTGTCTCTGTCCACTGGACTTGGACCCACGAGCTAATTGCAGGAGCTTCATCTTAAAGGAAACCACAAACACGCTCTCACCCACGTTTTACGACTTTATAACTCACCAAATAAACCTGATTCCTATAACCATAAAACAAAGCCGAAATGAGTTGGACATGTACCAGTGAGGAGAAGCAGGAGGGGGGTGGAGATTACCAGAGGGGGCTCTCAGCTGCAGAGTCGCGGCTCTCCGTGTGGATTTCGGCATCGCAGTCTTGCAGAAACTTAATATTCCAATCAGCACCCAAGCAAGGCATTAGAAGCCAAGGAGCGCATGAGTGCCCCCATAGCTGGGGGAATATTACTCACCAGGTCATGGTCGGCTGCGTAAAATACAACCCTCATATATCATTATAACTGCCAGCCAACGACAGTTATAATTGAGACGGCAATAACTAGGAGAGAGTTCTTTAATTTAACATCCAATTATTACAAGTTATCACTTCTTAATAAATGTAATATAACAGACAATCAATGTTGCATGCGACGGCCCAGACTGCAATGGGATGGGAAATTTATATCCTGGGGAAAAAAATATACTCTGTGTAGTGTGTGTGCGTTTGCGCGCATGTGTGTGTGTGTGTGTGTGTGTGTGTGTGTGTGTGTGTGCTTAGCCTTTCTAAAGTCTGCAGAGGCTGTGATAAGTGTTGCAAGACTCCGGCTATAAATAGCTGAGCTTGTCTCAATAGCTGACATTGCTGCATTTGCATATGTACAATAGCTCCAGGCCAAGGGAGAGGAAAGAGTAAGAAGGGAAAAAAAAGATTTCTTCTCCCTGGTGCAAGCTTTGAGAAACAGCAAGAGGAAGGAAGTAAAGCCCCCTGGTCCAGCTGGCACCAAGGCTCAGAAATGCAGCTGGGAATATCACCCCAAACCTAACTTGGCAGGGCAATTTCTTTTTAAATAATTTTTTTTATGTAGGACATATATATATATATATATATATACAGAAAAGCGAACACATCACGGGTATGCAACTTGATGACTTTCTACTAGGTGTACACACCCAAGGATTCAGCACCCAGATTGATAAATAGAAATTATCAGCACCCCAAAAACAGCTCTCAAGCCCCAGCACCACCCGTTCTTAAACCACCAAGATAACTACTCTTTCCTGATTTCCACCTCCATAGATTGCTTTCGCTTGCTTTGAACTTTATGTAAATAGACTCACACAGCATATTTTCCTTGATGTGCGGCTTCTTTGGCTCAATATTATTTTGTGAGGTTCACCCATGTTGTTGCATGTCGTGTGTTGCAGCAGTTTGTTCATTTTTAGTTCTAGATAATATTCCACTGTGGGAATATGTCACAATTTACACACCCATTCTATCACTGGTGGACATTTGGGTAATTTTCAGTTTGGGGACTCTTACACATAGTGCTGTGATGAATATACTTGCGTGTGACTTTGGTGAACATACGTAGATGTTTCTGTTGGGTGTGTACCTAGAAGTGGAATCGTTAGGCTATAGGGTAGGCATGTATTCAGCTTTAGTAGATGCTGAAAAATAGATCTCCAAAGTGGATGTGCCATTTCACCTTCTACCAACTATGAGAGTTCCAGTTGCTCCTTATCTTCATCAGTGCTTGATATTATGTTGTATTGTGTTAGCCTCCCTGGTGGGTTCATAGTGGGATCTCAGTGTGTTTTAATTTGCATTTTTCTGGTGACTAATGAATGAGGTTACACACCTTTTCGTGTGTCTGTCCTCTTTTGTAAAGTTCCTGATCCAGTGTTTTTGCCTGTTTTTCTCTTGGGTTGTTTGTCTTTTTTTTAACTCTCAGTACAAATCTTTGCCACTTGCATGTATTGCAAATAGCTTTCTCCCACTCTGTGGCTTGCCTTTTTACTCTGTTTCTGTTAATAAAGAGACATGTTTAATTTTTAATATTAATACAATTTTCAAATCTTTAACAGTTCTTTTTCTGTGCAATACAAAATTTTGATCTCTTTTTTAAGGAAATCACTTCAAAATGAGTTTTAGCTAGACTTCCAGAAGAAGAAATTGGTTGGGTAGCTTTGTGTTTGTTTTTATTTTTGTTTCTGACCCACCTACTTACCCCTCAACTCCATGCACATGGATTCAGTGGGTGGAGAGTGGGATATTATTCACTCACTGCTCACCCATCATGCATTTATTCATTTATTGAGACTTACGTACTAGACACTATGCTAAGTACTAGAGTCACAGAGATGAATGTGACAGACACTGTTCATGGCCTCAAGAAATATAAAACTCCTATGAGAAAACAAGAGAAAATTCTTCGTGACCTTGAGTTTGGGAAAGATTTCTTAAATAAGACACAAAAAGAACAAAAATGCATGAGTTATACAATTTTAAAAATCAATATATTGAACTTGATCAAAATCAAATAATTTTGCTTTATGAAAGACAGTGTCAAGAAGGGCTGATTTAAAAAAAAACAAAAATAATGCAATAATAAAGTATAATGATGTCCCTGGAAGTTTAGAGAATGATACCACGATTCCAGCCACTTTTATAGTTATTCCTCCATTTATTGATCTGCTCAATAAGTAGGTTATTGCTCCATTTATTCACCTATTCAGTAAGTATTTATTGAGCACATACTATATGGCAGGGATTGTGCTAGGCCCTGGAGAATCGCTGTGTCTTCAAGGAGCTCACGCTCGGAGAAGAATGGGCAAGCAGACATGTTACAGGACATGATGTGACAAGGGCTGCTGTGGGAATAGATGCAGATGTTGTAGGAATAATCAGGAAGACACCAGGAGGGCTTCCTTGAGGAGGTGATGTTTGAAGTTGGCCTTGAAGGATGAGTAGCAGAGAGTATAGCCAAAGGCATGCAGACAGGAAACAGGTAGCCTGACTATCATTTTAAGATCCAGTAGAGCATCAAATGAAAGGGCAAGATGTGAGTCTGGAGAATCAGTGGCTACATCCATGTCTGGTGGCATCTGATTGCCCCGAAGCACATTTGCATCTCACTGTGCAGGTGCTGGGGGATGTCAGGAAGATGAGAACATCCTCTTTTCGGATGAAGAGCTGTCGCACTGCAAATAAGAGCAGGTGGTATTCAGAACAGGAATTTGAAGTTTGGTGGCCAGGTTTGGATTATGACTATATGACCAGAGCTACTCTAGACCTTAGTTTCCTCATCTGTAAAATGGAAATGATAATGATCATGAGCACCCACTGATGACCTGCTCTGTACCCAACACCATTCTAAGAGTCATTACTTATTTAGTCTCCTCAGTCTCCCTGTAAGGTGGATTTTAAATCACTTGCCCTATGTAACAGATGAGAAAACAGTCGTCACCCAGCTGGTAAGGGCCAGAGCCAAGATGCAAATCCAGGCCATCTTGCTCCAGGGTCTGGCTCTCTAACCATTGCCTGATGCTCTTTAATAGTGGGGCTGGCATCCTAGGGTTGCCATGAGGACTGATGGAGGCAATGCACATAACATCTGACTCAAGCTCAGTGCTGGAGTCAGAACTCAGATTCTCTAAGTACCAGCTGCCATTAATAAGAAGCCCAGACGATCTAGGGGCTGTGAAGGTCTCTTACCAAAGGCATTGCTCTCCCACAGGACATTTTGGTCTCCTCCAACTTACACAGCCCTGCCTCCAAATGCAGTTCACACACAATATCTAACTAGAGCCCCATCCCTCAGCTCCCAGGGAGGACACGACAGGAGATTTCACAGATAAGAAAGTGGAGGTTTTAAAGCCATGTGCCCACACTCACAGGGGCATCAGAGGTGAGCTGGGGTTTGAAGCCGTGTTCATGTGCATCTCAGTGCTGTGAACTCACTCATGCCCCAGGGTCATGGAGCCCCTGCAGGGCCTGGCATCAGAGCAGGGTTGTCCCTCAGGATGTTCATGCTCAAGCCCGGTGTAGATCGATGCGGATAGTAGCAAGAGTTCTCTAAGCAAAAATAACTCATGGGAATATTTTAAAACAGAGGGTATTCATCAGCTCCAGCTTCAGTAACAAAATACCACAGAGCGGGTGGCTTAAACAACAGAAATGTATATTGTCACACTTCCAAAGGCTAAAAGTCCAAGATCAAAGTGCCAGCAAATTCTGTTTCTGGTGAGGGCTCTCTTCTCTGCTTGCAGACAGCCACCTTCTTGCTGGGTCCTCACATGGCCTTTCTTCTCCTTGTGCTCTGAGAGAGATATCTGATGTCCTTTCTTCTTCTGATAAGAACACCAGTCCTATTGGGTTAGAGTCCTGTCTTTATGACCTCATTTAATCTTAATCATCTCCCTCAAGTTCCTATGTCCTAACAGTCACATCGATGGCTGGGGTTTCAACGTATGAGCCTGGGGAGGCCACGGTTCAGTCTATAACATGAGAGAATGAAAGAAAAATGAAAGTAGGGAGGGAAGAAAGAGAGACTAAAGTAACAAGCAACAAGCGAAGAAAACAAGAGAGATGAAGAGGAGAGTAGAAAGAGGGTGATAAAAGAAAAGCGAGATGGGATTATGACCTGTGTCATGCCTTGAGTATGCCGTCATTTGCTGGGGATGCTTGCAGCCACCAGAAATTGTTCATCTGGGACCTCTGGAACAACTGGAGTTTTCTGCTGGCAAAAATATGAAGTTTGAAAACAATAAAGTTTATATTTGAGAGTCATAACTAACAACCCTTTGATATAATGAATTTACCAAGAACAAAAATCTGGTTGCCATGGCTGGAATGCCATTCAGAAGTCAACTAACCAAATATCTTCGTTTTGCATTCAGAAAAACGGAAGCCCAGAGTGGGGAAGGCACCTGCCCCAGGTCACACAGCTCGTGCAAATCCAAATCTTCTGACTGCACCTGCGGTGTTTCTTTCAGGAGGTCAGAGGCTGCAGAGAGAGGCAGTTATGGGCTGAGCAATCAGCATCAGAAAACAGAGAAGAATTGAAGTGTGTGAGACAGAGCTAGGCTCTAAAACAAGGGCTATCAATAGAGCCAAGGGCTCCCAGGATACAGAATAGGCAGACAGCTGTGCAGGTTGCACACTGCACAAGAACCCGTGATTGAGTAAAAGACCGGTGGCTGAAACCCAGTTCCCATTCTGTAACAGTCGTGCACCCTGGCAGAGAGCTGCGTTTACCCAGAGGAACAGACAGGCTTCTAATTTTCAGAAAGGCAACACATTGGCCCGTAGAGGTTTTTTGAGGAGATTCAGATTGATGGGGCACCTACTATGTGCCAGAATTTTGCAGGGATCCTACTCACATTATTTTGTTTAACTCCTTATCACTAACCCTACAATAGGGATTGGTATTTTCATCATACAGAAGGAGAAACTGAGGCGTAGAGTAGTGAAAAGACTTGTCACAAAGGTGCTGGCACATGGCTTGCTGCTCAGCAATGGTAATCATGTTTGTCAGAGCCTCACTGGGGGCTGCCCCTCGCCTGAGAGCTTTGTATGCAATATTCCACCTAATATTCATGGCAATATCCCCATGTTGGAGAAGCGAAACAGATGCTCAGAAGGGAAATAAACTTCTGAGGCCACCTGGATGTGTCCAGTCCTCCCTTGGCCCATGTGATTTCTAGGAGCTGGGACTTTTCTGTGAGGCTGAACCTCAGGCAGGTGTGGGACTCCCCAGGCTTGGCAGGCAATTACCATAGTATCTCTTCCACCCTCATTCTCTGTCTCTTCCTGGTGCTCCCCCACTCCCATCCCAGACCAACCCACAAGAGGTGGGAGGGACGTCCCACTCCCCAGACAGAAGGTTCCACGTGGCTCCCAAACCTGGGGTGTCAGTTCCCGCAGCTCAGGCACAGCAGCCAAACCCACCCTCCTTCTGGGGGAGGCGAGATGTGGAGAGGCTGGGGGCCCGAGCGCTCGGGCTCAGCAGCCGGACGGGCAGACTGAGGGGTTCCTT